GGGAAGTAAATGGCTGGAATTGTGGTCGAGTTAACGGTTAGCCTCACTGAACTTTTAAGAAGCTTCTCGGACTTTCGCCAGAAGTGACTTCCCATTCTGTTTCGTTAAACACTCGCCAGATGGAGAAGAATTTCAAATCAACTTAAAAAATATGGGTTAAAAATCTGTACCCCTCCCCCAACATTGTCAGGGTGATTAAGTCGAGAAGAATTAGATGGGCTGGGCATGTAGCGCGCATGGATGGGACAAGAGGTGTGCACCGGGTATTGATTGGGAAACCTGAGGGGAAGAGACCGCTGGGGAGACCTAGACGTAGAAGGGAGGATAATGTCAGGCGAGATCTATGGGAGATAGGAGTTGAAGGAGAATGGATTTTGTTGGCCCAGGACAGGGTCTGGTAGAGGGCTTTGGTTAATTCGGTGATGAACCTTCCGGTTCGGTAAGCCATCTAGTTAGTTAGTTAGTTACACAGGATCAATATGGATTCAAGTTAAGTTGTACATATGCAATACACCATTTAATTGAAATCCATAAGGTTCTCACAATATACATTAATTTTATCTACCAGTCCATCACACTGTTGAAGCAATGACCTCGGATATCATTCCATTAATGACCTTGAATGATATTGTTGCCAATGACGTAGCGTGAAGAACATTTTGAAATTTCTGCGTACTTCAAAGAGTACATGTTTCTAAAACTGGTAGAGGAGACTACTAAGAGTTCCTAGTCCGGCGTGTCTGAAGAAACACGTGTCAACTAGAGCAGCCGGGAGCTCGGCATGAAAGTAAAACTGGATCAGACGATAAAAACAAACTCTCGGCCACCTCTTGTGCTGCTGGAGGTATGATGGGGGAGACGTGCAAATTCCTTGCACGTCGTGGAAGATGCTGCAATAATAAGAGCAACATTGCAACACGTGATGTGGTCTGCCCACTCTTGAGGCACATGCAACCGCACTGCCTCGTGCAGGGATGTCAAAGGAGCATAACGCACAGGGGTGTACCCCAGTAACATACTACAGACTATTTAACTACCTCCATAAAGTAAGGTCTTTCTTAAGAATCTAATACACTCAGGTGATCAAAGAAATTACCCACATTTTATAGAAACTGCAGGCTCGCGATCGCTTTAATAACATTCCGCAACAAGTCAGTATCCTAAACCAGACAAATCCAAATCACATCCTACAATGCTATGTTCCTAACATCCATTTCAATATTATCCTCCAAACCTACGCCTAGGTCTTCCGAGTTGTCTCTACCCTGCAGGATTCCCAGTCAAACGTCTGCAAGCATTTATCATTTCCCCATACGCGCTACATACTCCATTCATCTGACACTCGTTAAAATTAAATTTAAGCCCAATAAAAATTACGTTTCATATGGCACAGAGGCAATACCAGGTTATATGCAGGTATGGAGGAACGAATGAACGTTCCATGAACTGCATATAAAATAATACGTTGCAGTATGTTGTAAGGAATACAGTGCCAGCATATCGCACATACGACGGTAAGAAGTTGACTCAGTAATAGTTAAATATATAATTTACCTGTGTTTCTATTGCTGTAACTCGTATTGGATAGCTTCAGACAACTCTCAGAAATTAATACGTCAACGCTGTCAGATAAAACACGAAGCCATCTCTATTCAAGGACCGGTTTCTTCTACTGCATTAAAAACAGTCTAGAAAACAAGCCAGTCCACGTTTTGCTTTTTAAAACAATTTTAAATTTATGTTATCACTTTTTAATACTTTATAACACAATTAAGATCCCGTATTTTAATCAGATTGATTAAGGTATTTGAAATAGCTGTCTCAAAAGAAAACGCCCAAACGTTTACGAACGCGTAGTTTTCAGAGAGGTCGGCGAAACGGAGCTAATGCACGGCTATAGGAAAGGCAGCATATACTTTCAATTTAAAATCTTGCTTTTCCTAGCAATGTGGCACAAAATTCATTTCTATTCCAGACGACTCCAATCTCGATTACTCAAAATTAAGAACAGCCATCCATCTCAAACACACGTCTTATCCACCTGCTCCAGGCTCTAGCGTGGCGAGCCCCAGTTCAGCCTTTACTGCCTAATCTACACAAAGCTTATAAACAGATTCTGGACCTCACTTACCATTAAACGGATACCGGTGAACTTTCCATCGACATTCGGAGGAAATATAACACATAAAGTAAACGGTAGTAGTAACGCCATGTTTCTCCAGCCAAGACATTTCTGTGTTTATAGCAGAAGTTGACGCACGTATCATTAAAACATTATATGATAAAATGTTTGGTAGCATGAGGACATTAGAAGTCTGAAGCTTTCTGAAGATAGTGCATTATGAGTAAAACTTTCTTATAGACTTTGTCTATAGTCAAAATTATACATTTTATAAAATTAATGTCGGTAAACGTCTACCAGATAAACGATGCAACATCCCTCAAGACCGTCTTCACAACTGACGTCGTAAGAACCTGTAATCTCACCGGTAAAATGGTTGTCCATAGCAACTCAAACTGACTTCGTGTTGAAGCGAAGAGATTCAAATTTTCCCGGCGGCTAGCGACAAATCTGCACTTAACGATTTCTGTCTCTTTCGGCTCGCGCTTGTAAAGACTTCGAGAGTCTAAACCAAGTCAGTCTGCGAACATAAAAGTCCTTTCAGAGAATATACCATGATGTATATTTTAATGGAAAATGACAACGTTCAAGATCCTTGTAATGGCGGTAATTAAATGTCTTCATCATAATAATGCCTCTTGCAGCATTAAAAAGAAATATACATTTTAAAGTTCATAAATGAAGTCGCTGTGGTTACCAGCCTTTGAACTGTACTATTATAGTGAATGTATAAACATTTAAGTAGGATTTGAGGTTTTCTCGGCGGTGAGTTTAAAGATGGTTGTCTTCTGGGCCATTGTGATGTGCAGTGTGGTAGAAGTTTACCGAAGTTTCAGAGGTCCTTGCTGCCTCCATCATCAAGGCGATGAGTCTCTGAAACGTCGGTAAACTTCTACCAGACTACACGGCGCAAGAACCCAGAAGACAGACACCTTCAAAAGACGTCATATTTAAAATGTCACTAAACATTACGCATGATAGGACGCAATTTATTTTAAATGGCTGCGAAAACTGCCTCGCCTGCTTCTGGGCAAGAATAATTAGGTCTCATCTGGAGGAAAAGTTCGAAATTATGTTGTCAATTCAGTGAAAATGCGTGTTTTCTCCCCCGTCTCTTCTTTCATTATTTCTCTTCTCGCCTCGTCTGTATTTGGATACATTACAGGAAAATTCCATTTAAACCCCTCCGTAAATACGGCGCTGAAATTCTGATACTTTTCTTCTGTCTTAACTAACTTCGACTTTTGACTTATATGAGGCGGATGCTTCATAAATACAGGTCATGTGATATTTTATTTCAAAATCCTATTTCACCTTACAATAATTTATTTTGGAAATAATGCTTTAAACTGCGTATGTTTTTGGTTTTAACGCCTTTATGAACTTGTACACGTCGATACCAACGTTTCGCAGGCATATATTTCCTCCATCTTTGGTAGTGAAAAAATGTACATCCGAAACACTTTCATCTACCTAAACGTCCAAACGGCGTTCCAACCCAGAAGACCTACATCGACATTTTCACTACCGTTAAAAACCCTCAATTTTCGTCTTCCATGGATATAACCTGCATCGTTTCTGAGTAATCTGATACCTTATCATGATTAAATGTTAAATATTTGCCAGCAAATACTGAAAATATGTAGCAATTACCACAGCTCTTCGGCATAAATATCTCATGGCAACATTAGTATTAGTGATGGATTATGGGAACAGTCACACAGATGGCTGCCTGGGCATCGGACACAACAAATCAAAACTGTAATTGATTTTTATAATTATTTCCAAATCAATGCCACGGTTAGGAAGTAATAACTGTATACGTTACAGTTAATACATACGACGAGTACTGCTAACATAACATTTTGTAATTTTTACTAGTACATCCAAATGTCCTGTGTTCAAACTCCGGAACGAAAGACAAACACGAGCGGAAAAACGTCTTCCTAACGAGTAAATATATTTATTTGTGAATGCAACTGCCTCGTGGGATGATACGCCTTGTAGTCTGGTATATACTTACTGACGTTTCAAAGGAGCTTACTGTCATCAGGGAGATGAGTCACTCATCGCCCTCATGATGGAAACTGGAACATATTGTCTCAACGAAACCCACATAAAAATGTGTTTTGAAGATAGTGATGTAAATACGAAGCTGTGAATATTTATACGAAGTATACACATCTGTTTTTAAATATTAGTGTAATAATTCATATACCTATATTAATCTCTAAGACCTTGCAACATCTAGGTGACTAAGACAGTCAACAGCGAAGAATCAGAAATGTTTCTGATTAACTGCTTTGAATTACTTTGTGGATAATGCTCAAGACATTTAGTAAACCCACCGCGTAGTTTTAAATATTTCCCATTTACAAGATATAACTGAATTAAAGTCACCATACTTAGTAGTGCATAATAAAGTAACCAGAAGAATAAACAGTAACTAAAGAATACTGTAATATATAAAAAATCAAATTTGAATATTGTAAAGTGCTACTTTAGAGTTAAATTTCTTGACTAGAACGCATCAACAAAAAATCTCATGCATCTAAAATTACAAAGACGCATTGAAGAATACGCATTCGAAGAGACAGATTACTGTAAGATGTAATTCTTCAGAGTTCTAATGTGCTCCATGACAAACAGTAGCAAATTACTGTAATACTTGTGTCTTTTGTCATGTGTCATGGACCAGGCAGCTGAGAAGTGCGTGCTTATTTTTATGCTTACGAAACCACTCGCATCTCGCTTCAAGTGCTTTTGCTAACCCCACGGAACTCACATCAGGAATTCACTACCCTCTTAGCTCTCACCTATATCGACCGACCCACCCTCACACACCTCGCTCGGGTGTTCCCCCGAAGACCCTACCTACCCCTAATGCAAGTCCATTTAATGGTGTAGCTTGCCCCCGTCTTCCAATTGCGATAGAAAGGTCGAGACGCGTAGGGCGTTGCATCGAAGTGTTCCAAGAATCGAGTCGTGTGTGCGTTGTGTGTTGAAGTACCAGTGAGAGCTCTGTAAGAACAAGGTTTCAGAGTTACAAATGGAAAGTGGAAGTCCGTCTACTCCTAATATAATAGCCAATGTTCGTCACGGTTGACTAGGATTGCGCAGTTCGTTCGATGCGGAAGAACTTAAGATCAACTTCTGACGGTGGCGACTTTGATAGCAAAAAATGTAAAAGACGCAAAGGTGGAGTACGCCTGTGGTTAACTTCTGACGGTGGCGACTTTGATAGTAAAAAATGTAAGAGACGCAAAGGTGGAGTACGCCTGTGGTGTAGTAAGCGTTTGGAGAGAGCGTGGAGTCTGGTACAGGGGGGTTGATTTCGTGTTAGCAGGAGTCTGGCTTTAGTCGCCGTGAAGTTGTTTTAATGTAAAATTTACTTCTCAAAAAAATTTCATAAATTTTGTACTTTCATTTCGATTTAAAAAAGTAATGATGAAATAAATTATATAATTATTTATCACAAAAACTGTTTATTTCCATATAGGATAACCAATGTTTTTTGTCGAAATGTCTCTTAATTAGAGGACAAAAAATACAGCATCTATTATCCGGCTTAAACTAGAAAATTACCGTCTTCCGGGATATCGCCGTGAGAAACTGAAATATCACCTACTTAAACAACTTTAATTTCTAACTTTACAATTCACGTGATCTCAGTCTCTTCTTTAAGCGGTACAATTACATACCAATGCAACCTTAAATGAGGCATGTGTGTGGTAGCGTAACGGACTAGTAAGCAGGTGGTCACGATATTGAATCTCGGTCGAGTCGAATTTCTTACTGATTCACGCAGTCGCCATGTTGTTTTACATTTTACAAAGAATTGCTGCAACAAACGTTGTACAGATTTCAACAAAAGTCACGAAACATCGGTTCAGGAAGTCATAACACTCCCACCTCACAAGTTCATGCGTCCGCCATGTTGGTATTAGACTTCATAAAATAAGTATATTTATATGTATCTTAAACAACAATTAATAAATTAATTTTAACGAAGACTGTGTATTGTAATTCTTACAGCTTACGTATAGGGAATATCCCCTGATTTAGAACCTCAGTATATAATTATACAAAAATAAATTAATTTGATATAGAATCTGATACATATCTGCGTTTCAGTCAGCCAGTATTAAAACTATACATTTCTTATCGCCTGAGGATGATCACATTTGACCAAAACATGTAGTGAGGCTCATGTATTTGTTATGTGGCAACAGAATACTCTTCTTGCGATGATAAATAAAACCTTTGTTACTATTGGACATATTTAGTTGGTGAAATGTCTCGGTTTCCGGGAAAAGTGTACATAATTATTCGTTTAGGGACCAGCCGGTACTTTTCCTGTCTTCTTCACTGAGATGCAGAATGGAAGAAACGATTTCTGCGTGCAACCAAAATGTGCCGCAAGTCTAGCAGTTTACTTCAGTCGAAACGACTTGAAAATTCAATTACTTTCAGTGCAAATCTTAATTAAATACTCTATAGCTGCGTAAGAAAAGAAAGATAAGGCAAGTGGCAGAGTGAACGGGGTGGAAACAGACCGGAGTATTAAAACCAGGATAAATAAAGGAGTGAATGAAATTTGTTTCATGAAATACATTCTTGATATTCCTTTAATCTAATTCTAAAATAATAAACACGGAGAATATATTTTCTGACTGACCACAAAACTAAAATGGTATTCATATAAAGTTTTTCTCACGCTCTGAGGACCGCCTATACTTCATTACATTCAGTTATGGCCATGTCATTATTTCCACAAGCCACGAAATCACGTCATAGTTTTTTTCATTCCACTAACAATTTACATAATCGGCCACAAAAAATGTCTGTCGAACACAGGAAGGTTGAGTCTTTCAAAGGGTGAAAGGAAGAAGCCACAAACATGCAATGTGTTTAAAAAATTATATTACAAAAGACAAAGTACAAATATTTTGAGAATATAAATAAAAAAATCACTTAAAACAGATAAATTTAGGAAGGAGTTCATTGGGTACTGGCAAACAACTAACATATTCAAACATCACAGAACCGAAACGTTTTCCTGGTTGTAAGGAGCAGCTCACTACATCAGAGACTGCTATTAACTGAACTTTACAGGGAATAGAAATATTCTCACTTCAAAAGGAATCTAGTCGTTTGATATTAACACAAAATGTTCGGTTTGAAAGATCAAAAATATCACTAAGGCTTTAACCAACCGTACAGGGTAGTTAAATTAAACCGCAAAGCTTTGTTCGTACCTAAAATTTTAAAACTTTTAGTTTCATGCGTTACACCAAAACAAACTTTTATGAATAATAATTTCGGTAAAAATTTATGAAACCCGTATAGTTGGTGATTCAAATGGGAGAACAGTGAAAAACATACCGCATGCTTTAAAAATACTCCATTCATCTGACAATGAATATTTTACTGATCTCGGATGACTAAACTGCCACATGAAAAACACGTGTGGAGTTTCGCCTTTCTGAGAATCTGCTTTAACGGATGACTGCTCTCATTGACGTCGAGTTATACGGAACAGTATCACTTGTTAAACGGGAAGTTCACTGTGTAATATATCAGGTGGTCCTTGCGGGCATATCTGTTCTATACAGAAGAGTAAAGCACGTATTATTCTCTCTTACTGACGTAAACTCCACCTCTACTCGCTTTTCATTAAATTAACACGAATTTCCAGGAAGAGCTTCAAGACATTACCTTGTTTTACACATATTAATACCTGTGAAGACGCAGACATAAATTAAAACGAATAATCATAAAATAATCAGTAATTTGCTCACAGTTCTCACTAGTATATTGTTGCTTTATTTAAATATATTAATTAAAATCAGCTTTTCACGATCTCAAATTCCTTATATGCAATCCATAAGATATTTGAATACACCTTCATTACAAAATTTATGTGATTTGTATTATATACCCGAATAACGCGAGGCCTGCGATTTAAATTTATCCTTGAAAAATGTCACCAGTAATGTGCCTATTCATAACTAATTTGTAATATATAATACACATCTACAATAATACTGAACACAGCAGGGCTCAGCGTACATTTGCTTTCCTTCTTTCGATTTCATATCTCGCATTTGGCGTAGGTTTTGTGGATATTGTAATGGACTCTTAGGCAAATGATGGCAAGAAGTAGACAAAGTAGTCGTGGCCTAACCTGAGGGACACGTGATCATGAAGGTGCCAAAGTTCTCAGACCTCGCAACCGATTAGTTACGGACCAAAAACACAGATGTCCGTGTGTACATTTTACAACAAAACCGATCGTTCTGCCCATCACCGTGACCACCCAACTGAAATTTTGTTCATCCTGCCAAGCTCCAGTCTGAAGAATCCTGGGAAATTCAGGAAAAAAAAATGTTTTGAGAAAATAAAACCGCATCTAATTTTAAAGTTGCACAAGAATTGGTCATAATTTAACGATAACAACTCCACACAGTTTAAAAATTCTACACATTTGTTTGAAACGATATTACAATTACACAGGACCATGACCCGAAGGATTCCACTTCTATCTTACCTTTAACAGGACGAAACCTTTCTTTACAGGCGCGTTACTTTTATACAGTAACGAAGATGTGACGAAGATGACAGGTTGATCCGAAATATTCCTAACCATATACACGAGCACAGGGTGTCACAGACTAAAGATCTCTAATCGACATTTTTTCCTATTACCTTTCAAGAAAAACCAATATTTCACAAGTAAGAGTCGAAATGTATCAGTATATTTATTTATTTATTTTTAGTTTATTTAACAACGCTTTCAGTAGCTAGACTACATTGCGTCTGGTATCAGTACATGCATCCCTGATTGACAACGTGATACTTATAGATTATGGTCAGTGAACTTCAAATACTTATGAATCCACGTGATGTGAACACTAATGACACGCCATGACCATATATTATCCATAAAACACAAATCGTTTTATGTCCATGATTAAACATATTAAATGATACGACTATGAGCATAGTCTATTTGATATAAAATTTCCATAATATTTAGATTTCGAGAGGAGTCCCTTTGCACCTTAAAAGCATCTGAAGTGTCTAATATGCATACTGATGCCACTGTAGCAGGCAGGCACATGGGTGATGCTTCTCAAGGCATAATCGCCCCTTGGAGAGAGAGGTGCAACTCTTCGAAATGGCCTCCGTTCTCCCTTCTCGCACGATCTCATTATCGCAACTTAGCACCTTCATTTATACAGCCCCTTACAACACCGCAATGGAGATTACGGTTTCACAAGCAAACAGCACGTAGGTTCTGACACTTGACTTACTGCTTCCTACCAAGCTGAAGGTGTAGAAATTCATTTTTCGTTATGACTATACCATTTATATTTGCCCTTTAAAGCCGAAGCTCGTCCAAATAACATTAAAAAGATTAGTCCGAACTTCAATGGAAAAAAAAAGTTCATAACACCGGTCAATTTTTTACTGGTGTTCAGAATAACTCTTTCCAATTTACTGTTCACAACTTGTCTTGCAACCACAAGAAAAACATCACTGAAACGGAAGTAGCGAGTTCTTAAGAGAACGGCCATAAAAGACCTACAAATATATAAAATGTGTAGCAAAAAAATGGAATTCAAAATCAACCCTCTGCAGCCAAAGCTCATCTAAACTGATAGACGGACGGGCAGACATACATGATCAACGCTACATGACTTCATTTCACACATATCGTACAAAAAAACGCACGATAATATTACAGAACTTAGTCCGTACCGATAAGAAAACACAGCCCATAACCACTGCAAAGATCTCTAGTTTGATGTTCTTAAAGAAATAATATCTGCTTTTTATAGTAATCATAAGAAACACATACATACATAATGTAGCGTTTCTAACTTTTAAATCGTATGGTACCAGTCAGCTTTACTCGGTTAAACCCCTTGTAATCAGTTTTTTAATTACGTATATAAGAATTATATACTGTTTAGTCATCGTAATGAGTTTGCTATTATCACTTACAAGCACTGTTA